CTGATGCTTCAACAGGTCTAACAGGTTTCCCAGAAATTAACAGTTGTGCTGATATATCATACGGGGACACAAACAGCAGTAAAAGAAAAATGGACAGGTATTCTTACAATTCCCCATTGTATCCAGGAAACATTAACTGGAGTTAAAGTTTATATTTCAACCAAAAGAATCTCATGGTAGGAGATCCTACCTTTCTTACATGTTTTTGCTTCACTCACATAAACATGTATGCCCAGCCAGTCAACAGGCATCCCTATAGGCAGTCAAATCATATCTACAGTACATGTTCCACTACCCTTGTATGTCAGTAAAGGATCAAAACAAAAAGGGGGACAAGAAAGGTGCTGGTGGTATAAAAATATATATAAATGAAGATAGCGTTACAGAAAAAAATATAAAAGGGAAAATGTGGAGACAAAGAAATGAGAGAAAAAGCAAAAGAAGACAAGGATAGGTCAGAACATAAAGGGGCATTATATGGACCAGTGCTAGAAAAGTAAACAGATATTCCCTGCTTTACACTCTGTTCAGCAGGGAGAGGGTCCTTTCAATGTGACCAATTTTTTAGATTACATACTTGGGAGATGTTTTCAAGCTGTATATGGTGTTCCGGTACAGTACAGCTTTCACAGACAATGTCAGACAGACCAAGTTCTGGCATTACATATTTTGGATAGGTAATTGATTTTTATAGCTTTTAAACATAGCTTGTCATAAATATAGCAGCAGCATTCCAATTTGATGTATTACAAACTAAAAAAGGCAGTTTTAGACAGATTTGACTGCGACATCCAATTCTCCAGGTAATATTCCAGAATTGAACAGTGGGAGTAATGGCCACAACAGATCTAGAAGCTATAGGATTTTCCTTTAAAGTTGAACTTTACCCATAACAACTTAATAAAAAAATTATGTTCTTTAGTAAGGAACATACATTCCACATTATTAATCATGCTACCAAAATCAGTATGTGCTGTACATTTTCTCCAGCATTGTTCCTGTTTCTTTTTCCTGGAGGCTTCCATTCTACTGAAGCCCAGAGCCCTGAGCAGCATTAAATCTTTAGTCTGTCAGCAGATTTGGCACAGTGCCTAAAAATAGGGAGCAACTGAGAATGTGCAGAGAAGGATGACACAGTGTATTACTTCTTTTTACTGTTCTACATAGCTATACCTCCAAAAGGGGCCAGCCTGAAGTGATCTAGCAGGACTTAATTTTCTGACTAAAGTTCCACTTTAAAAATATATATAAATAAAGGTAAAACCATCAATTTTGTAGAAATTGGCAAGTGGCACAACAGTTAATTGGAAATTGTAGTTTGGGAGCTTCTTTTTTCATAGTACCATACTGCATTATTTTTAACATTTAATACAATGTCAAAGCAGAGAAACAAAACACTTAAAACCACACCACCACCAGTGTTAATTTCATTGATGAAAATATTTTCATCATAGTTTTCATCAGCGGCAAGTGATGAAAACTAAACAAAAATCAATTTCAATTTTTGTCAATTGACGAAAACTATGACAAAAATCAATTCTAATTTTCATCAATGAATGAAAACAGAAAGAAAATTTGAGGGAGGGACGTTTACCCACATGAACTCTCGCTATGACCTGCTTTTACTGTGAACAGTAAACTAATTCTTATTATAGAAATAGGCATTACCAATGAGTATTGGATTAGTTATTCTGTGCCTATGCTTGTAGCTGCAGAAAGTTTTTGTTCAGTTACTTGAACTGTTAAAGTTCATGTAATATGTACAAGAACATTACAGGGAATAGAGTTTACTTTTTTTTTTAAATTATTTTAAAGCTGAACTTCTGTTAAAAAAGCAAAACTTGGTTTTTTTTTTAAAAACGTTATATATCACAAAGGCTAAATCTGTGTCTGTACAAAAACCTTAATACCATAACTAATAACATGTTATTAGATTTTTATTCCAGGGGTATATAATGAGTTTGGAGATTCTAGAGAAATGCCTAAATAATGCATTACAATTTAACTAAACCCATTTGATTTTAGTCGACTAAAATGTAACAGAGATTTTAATCAACTAAAATGTAAAATTTTTGTACTGAAGATTTTTGTCAACTAAAATTTTAGTCAACTACTAAAACTGAAAACAAGGTATATTGGTATAAAACCCTCAGCATAGTGTCCGGTAAAACTCAGCATGGGACAGTATGCAAGCAAGCACTTGAATCTAAGGAAAGGGTTGGGGATAGTGGCAGGCAGGGATGAGACGAATGAGAGAAGATAATCTGCAAAGAATGTGCATTTCTGTTCTCAATCTCCAAACCAAACTCCTTTTACCTTAAGATTATCTCCAGTGAGACAAGTTGGTGGTTCAGTAAGGGTAGCGAATAATATATGGGATAGTGGAAATTCTGGTCTTGTACCAGGTTGTATATTGATAGGGTGAGATGAATGCCATGTATGCATATAACTGCTGTGAAGGTGGCATAGAGGATCCAAACAGTTTGAAGAAAGTTAGAACCAAAGACCTAAGTTCTAGAATGTTAAAGCCTAGGTGCAACCAGAATAAAAAACAGAAAAATCTGCACAAGGGACATAACTTAAAGTCAGTAGGATGTGTTCCTTGTGCTGATGAAACTAAGGGGCTGTCACAGGCTGTCATCAAGAAAGCCTGATTTTGCTGCCTTTCCTGTTTTCAGGTTTGCTAAGGCAACACTTTTTGGAGGTTCTACAGTACATCCAGAAAGTATTCACAGTGCTTAACTTCTGCCACATTTGTTATGGCTTGGTTGTCATGGCTTGGTTTGTGCTCTGACATGCACTGTTAACTGTGGGACCTTATATAGACAGGTTTATGCCTTTTCTAATCATGTCCAATCAACTGAATTTCCCACAGGTAGACTCCAATCAAGTTGTGGAAACATTTCAAGGATGATCAGTGGGAACAGGATGTACCAGAGCTCAATTTTGAGTGTCATGGCAAAGGCTGTGAATACTTATGTATATGTATTTTTTTTGTTTTTTATTTTTAATAATTTTCAAAGATTTTAAAACAAACTTCTTTCATGTTGTCATTATGGGGTATTGTTTGTAGAATGTTGAGGGGAAAAAAGGAATTTAATCCATTATGGAATAAGACTGTAACATAACAAAATGTTGCAAAAGTTAAGCACTGTGAATACTTTCTGGATTCACTGTATCCCCTTTATTAAACCTTGGTGACTTAGAAATACTTAGCAACTAATATAGCAGCCAGAGGGTAAAAGAGCAGTCCAACATTAAATTATTACAGGATAATGTGAGCAAAACTACTGAAGACAAACATAATGTACTATGTGTATTGTTGGCACAAGCTTCCTTTATGTGTCTTTTTAATGTTACTCGTAGCCTCAGATGATCCTCAATAGCAGTTCTCTTTATATAGCTCTTTGTTTTATGTTTATTTGTATTTTTTTAATTGTTTTTTTTCCTTGTCATACCTTGCCTGGCAAAACAAACACATGCAAGGGCAGCAGTGCAAACTGGGTATTCTTAGGTAAGAAGGGAGTCCTAGGCCTCATTACCTGGTCCCTATGGAGAAACAAAAAGGGGACAGCTACAGGGGAGATTCCCCGTACAAAGATCTAAATTATGAAGTGTGCCAACAGTCTGTGAAACAAGATAGAAAGTCCTAAATCCTGAAGCAATGGCAGGCATATCGTGGTGGAAGAAGTCCATAGCAGTAGGCAGGTGGATAGCTTAAGCCACTTGAAGCTAGGTGGAGACACAGCCATTGGAGGTGCGGGAAGGAAAGACGCCTCAGAGAGTAGGATGCGAAGCTGGGATAAGAGGAGGATGCAGGAGCCATGGCCGCTGGTGTCCACAATCTGATCTGAAGAACCGAGACTTCGCTGGAGGAAACTGCCATGCAGGAGAGGATAAACAGCCTGCGGCCATGGACTTCTTTCACCACTGTATGCCTTTCATTGCTTCACCCATGTGAGTGCACATTACAATTTTTCAATAAATTGATTTACTACTCTATATTGGGATTTTTGGCATCTCTCTCCTCTTCTCCCCATTTATTTCCTATATCAGTCCCCCAAAGCCAGATTGGAGCAGGCAGTCTGGTTTCAGTTAGTATTTATGTCTAGTTACACAGTTTTACCTCTGGGATCTTGTTTGTTTTTAGCATGATACAGTATGATAACATTGTATTATGTTTATTTTCTCTTGAATTTGCTACACCTTATTATTTAGTTACACATCAGCTGTGATCTATTTCATTGAGTCTATCATTAGCACCTGAATTGGGACCGAGCACCACGGTCAATTTTCTTTTCTGCTTGTTGACAACACTACCCTATCTCCTGCCTGTAAATCACCCTGTCTAATGCTCTTCAAAAATTAGTGCTGATACACTTGCCCAGGCATGTTCCACTGCTGTCATTATTTTAAAGAAGACCTGGTAAAAAAACACAATTGCAGCCGACAACAATTAGGAAATATCCCACTTAAAAAAAAACTTAAAAAAACACATACAGCCTCTTATCACTGAAGTGCATGTGGACAGGCAGAAAAGAGGATGTTAAAAAAATCAAATGCAGCCAGCAACAATTAGGGAATATGCCTTATGAAAAAACACATGCTACCTGTTATCACTGTAGTGCATGTAGACAGGGACAGGCTATAAAAAGGTTGCAAGACTTCAGAAACATTAGGATGTAAAAAAAATGTAAAAAGGTAACATTTCCTTCCCTCCTCAATCCCCAAATTATGTAAATACACAGCAGTATACTACCTACAGGAAATTCAAAAGTATTTACATCTTCTTTAAAGCCGAATTAAAGTCCACAATACTTACCTCTGCTTCAACTGCCAAGGGACCTGTAAGGTCCCTTGCCAGCACCTGTCAGGGCTCCCGGGTATGACCAGAGGTGTGTGACTGACGCAGGGAAACGCAGACTTCAGATATGTTATAAACAATGTAATTTATTAACACTAACCATACAAACATAAACGCAGCGACAGCGGGCACCGCGTCATCTGGCAAGGCAGTGGGCTCCGAGTCAACAGGCACGACAGTGGGCACCGGGTCATCAGGTACTGGATTGTCTGGCTCGACAGCGGGCATCGGGTCACCAGGCATCAGGTCATTTGGCTTGCCAGCGGGCACCGCATCATCTGGCAAGGCAGTGGGCACCGGGTCACCAGGCATTGGATCGTCTGGCTCGACAGCGGGCATCGGGTCACCAGGTATGACAGCGGGCACTGGGTCACCAGGCATCAGGTCATTTGGCTCGCCAGCGGGCACCGCGTCATCTGGCAAGGCAGTGGGCACCGAGTCACCAGGTACGACAGCGGGCTTTGCGAACGAATGGAGCAGCTGGAGACAGAGAAGAACTGGAGGATGGAACAGGAGAGGGAGCAGTTGCTACAGAGGACTTTTTTACAGGGTTAAAGGCAGGATAGGTGCAGCGAGTGGGAACAGGGTACTGACATGCGGTAGATAGCAGGGCAGGAGGAGCTGTTGGGAATGCAGGAATAGAGTTTTGAGGAAATAGATTAGAAGCAGGACTGGGTCTTTGTAAGCTGACTGAGGCTGGGTGCAACAAGTCTGTCCATGTCTGCAGTATGGGTTGAACAAAGCTGAGCTTACACAAAGCCTGTCTGACCAAAGACTGCACTGCGTTTATACAATCTCTTAGTATCTGTGGTGAACATGTGGAATAACGCTCCAGAAAGTAATCCACACATCATCCTCTAATAACCATACCAGGGACTCTACCTGGTCGGCACTAAATGGCGGCAAAAATTCATCCCTGCATTCGGGGGAACCAGATGAAACCAACTCAGCACAAACCTCAATCAAAGGCTGCACCTCAGAGAACTCTGTGCCCTGATCTACTAGAACATGAGCGAGCCGTATACATTCTAGCAGTTCATCCCGGGTATACTCCTTCAGAGTTTGATAAGCATACTCCCTGTCATCAAACACTAGCAGATATAAATACACAACCTCATCAAGATCCATCCTTCCCATCAACAAGCCAAGATGGCTTCCCTGTGCAGCCACTTCTGGTCAGGATTGGCCTTGGTGTAATGTCAGGGCTCCCGGGTATGACCAGAGGTGTGTGACTGACGCAGGGAAACGCAGACTTCAGATATGTTATAAACAATGTAATTTATTAACACTAACCATACAAACATAAACGCAGTGCAATACTAAAACATAACACAGTGCAAACAAACCAACCAACCACCTACAGATAACAGTACATACAATGCAAGCGTCGTCAGGCAGGCCGGGTCAATATCAGTCGGGCAGGTAGGTACAGGGGGAGCAAGCGGAGAATGGTCGGGGTCACAAGCCAGGTTCAGCAGGTAGCGGGCAGCGTGGTACAGAGGGTCAGGCAGAGGAGAATGGTCAGACAAGCCAGGGATCAGAGCAGGGTCAGCAGAGAATCAGACAGGAACAGAGAGCAGGAACAGGATACAGGGCCCAAGAGAAACACAACACCAAGGCAGAGTCTGCAGGTCTGAATGTCCCTTAAATACACCAGTATAATTAGTTCCAGGTGTTTGACTGGCTGCAAGGTTGAGTCTCTGATTGCTGGGAGCACCCGCTGGCCAGCCCTGGTACTGCAGCTCATAAGGCAGCTGAGTCCCACTATTGCTGGCCAGTCCATTCCTGACAGCACCATTTTTTCCCCAGCTTCTTTTGGGTGTTGGTTTTTAGCTATCTTGTTTGGCTGGTACAGGATAATGTCACTCCCGAGCATGTGCAGGAATGCAGTTATCCCGGTACACAGACATTGTGGCGGAATGTAAACTGAGCTGCACATTTTTCTTCTGCAGTAAAGAGCTTGCCTCCTTTCAGATTTTTTTAATTATACATTTTAGTTCCATTTTAAGAGATTAGGCAGCACCTTCAACACTGCACTAGTCTATCTCAATAATCAGCAGCAATGTCCTATGCTGTCCCTATCACAAAAAAAGCACATTGTCCATGTGGCTGCTGGGACCCACCTTTTTATATTCAGGGGCTGACTTACCCAAATCCCCCTTATTGGCCAGCTGACTTAAGTTCAAAGGACAGAAAGTTACCTTGGTGATGAAATCCATCATTAGTCTGGTGGATCTGTAAACAGGTAGGGTTCAACTCAAACCCATAGCAGACCTTTATCCCTACTTGTTGCCTCCTTGTATCTTTTTTTTTTTTGTTTCCTAGTTCCTTTAATCCCATATATAAATGCATTTTTGTTATCCTGCCACAATTAAAGCACATCTAACTACTGTATATGTTTGAGCCTAATACTACAGAGAGCCAGATGTCAGGAATCCATAGCCACCAATCAAAATTTATTATTCATTGGGATGACTTGAGTCAAATTGAAATCAAATTGGTTGATGTGGGTTATTGCACTGTGCACATCTTCACATGCCATATTTTATCCTTTTGCATTTCTTTACATATTATTTTTCTGTCTTGTTATAATATTGTCTGTTTTATGAGCATCTGTTTATATAATCTGTAGTCTTCAGATGCTTTTAAATATATATATTTTTTGAAATTTTTAAAATTCCTGGATTATTTAACTATAAATCAGCCTATGAGGCATTGTAAAAAAAATTGTGCATTATGTTAGCTCATCTGTCTTCAAGAGGAGAGATAGCAGAGTATAACATGGGATTTAAAGGCAAAATTCAAACATTACTTTTGTTTTTAAAGAATGTTGGAAAACCAAACAGAATTTTTTGATTGACTATTTGTAATTTGCCTACTATTTAATCAGGAACTATTAAAAGGAAAGCATACATTTTCAAAGTGTTTCAGATAAAAGTGTAAAAGAGATGAGAGTGATGCAAATAAGCATAGCAATATGCATTAAAGCCTAAGTTTACCTAAAAAAAAAAAAAAAAAAAAAAAAAAAAAAAAAAAAGGAAAGAAAAATAAAAAATCAACACAAAGGTGGTTACTTACTTTCAATGTGATGTCCCTTCTGTCTTTAGTAGTAATCTTCCCCCTCCTATGTCCCCCACAGCTGTATTCTTCCTGTGTGGGTGGGGTTATAGAACTGAGGAGCTGTCACCAGGGGCGTATTTTCCGCGAGGCAAACAAGGCGTTTGCCTAGGGCGGCACTTTTAGGGGGGGGTGGCGTGGCGGCAGCGCCCCCCCCCTTTCCCACGGAAGGAGACACTTTAATGGGAAAGGGACAGGGGCTGCTGTGTCTTACCTGTCTCCGCAACCCCGGAGGGGTGGAGAGAGGGTGTTCGTCACCAATGATGGGGCACTATTCCTCCCACTGACACCAAGGATGGGGCACTATTCCTCCAACTGACACCAAGAATGAGGCACTATTCCTCCCACTGACACTAATGATGGGGCACTATTCTTCCCACACTGACATTAATGATGGGGCAACATTGTTGGTGTCAGTGGGAGGAATAGTGCTCCATCATTACTGTTAGTGTGGGAGGAATAGTGCCCCATCGTTGGTGTCACTGAGAGGAATAGTGCCCCACTGCTGTTGTCAGTGGGCATAGCTCTAATAAGAAGAGGTGGAGCCTAAAGAGGAAGGGTGGAGTTTACATATGAAGGGGTTGATCTTAAACAGGAAGGGGTGGGGCAAATTTAGATTCGGGGGTGCCGATTTTTAGTCTTGCCTAGGGCAGCACAAAACCAAAATACACCACTGGCTGTCACATACAGAAATTAAGGGTGCCTGAGTACACCCGTCCTATCTGCCCCTCTCCTTCATTCATAGAAGTTGTACTACAACTTCTATCAGTGAAAAAGATTTATGGAAGAAGGATGGGCAGATGATTGAAAGGTCTACCCCCTTCAATCATGGATTGTGTTTCATTCATTGAAGCTGTATTACATGAATGGAGGATCTGGGCGAAAAGTGGGAGGAAGATTATTACTGAACTAGAACACAGAAGCACAAGGGACACATCACACATTAGGTATGTAATGCCCCTTGTGCTTATTTTGTATCTTTCTATTTTAAGTAAACTTAGTCTTTAATGTTTAAAAAAAACCCTGTTCTTATGTATAATTTGTAATTATATACTGTATGTAACTGATGAAGCAATATTTGTTGATTACTTATGCAGGTTCTGCTTCCTGCTTTCCAAGTGCAACACAGTTATCACGCTTTACTGCCCCTTCCCACAATGCAAGAAGATGAGTCAACTAATTCACTGGAAACAATGTACTCCATGTGTGACTGATACTGTATCTCAACAGTTTTTAGGAGTGAGAAAAAAAAATTGCACTGAGCCACTAAAAGCTCTTTCTAGTTTACAAATTGTTATATTTTGCTGCAGTAACAAAGAGTGGGGTTTAAGCTTACAAAATGGTAATGACAAAAATGAGTTGAAGATTAAAGCGGTAATATACCTAACAATTTATTATTTTGAAACTTTCCAATTCTTAGTTGAGGTGGCTGCATTAGTTTGCCTGTAAGTTTTTTTCCTTTTTTTCTCACCTGGTAATCCAGCCAGTAAATCTATTATATTTCAACACTATAATGTGGTAGTAAACTTTTTTCTTTTTTTTATTTTTACCTACAGGTAAGCTTATTATAATATATATTCTAGTGAGTGGCAGCTGGTGATGTCACTGGCGCATGCACTCTGAAGGAACGGCATACCCAAGCTGTTCCTTCTGAGCTGTGTGCCATGGCCAAGACTCTCGCACGCATGCACGGGGGTAACATCATTGTGGTGTGGCCAGTCAAGTGGCTGCAGCCCATGAACCCAGAAGGAAGACCAAGAGAAGATGGAAGCCTTCTCAGTGGTGACAGCAGGCCGCTGGAGGGCTTCCTTTAAAGGTAAGTCTTTCATAATGTGCTAGTATGCAGTGCATACTAGCACAATATGACATTACTTTGCAGGGAGAGTTTTTTTTTTGTTTCCTCAAGTTTACTACCGATTTAAAAAGACCAAGCTGTCCAGCAAAAGTAGCAGTTAGAGGGTTGAGATAAACCATTTACTACTGACAGGGGTGCTTGTAAGGGTCAGCTGTTACTCATTTATATAAAATCTTTATCCCCACAAGAAAAAAAATGATGCTATACCTGCTTTAAAAGAGTTAGCAGGTGTTTGGCTTTAATTTGTTAGTCAAGTCCATCTAAATCTATTAGTGCATTTAACACTTCACCCTCTGCAGATTGACAATACTGGTGTCCAAAGGTGTTGCTATTGCTCCTCCATCCACTGGAGACACCATAAGACTGGAAGTGTGTTACTGGCTGGATCACCAGGTGAAAATATAGAACAAAAAGCCTAAGAAAATCAAACTAATGGAGCTATCACATCTAGGCATTGGTGAGCTGAAAAGTTTAAAATTTTTATGCTT